AGTCACCACGGCAACATCGTTCATTATGTAACGTGCAACGCGGCCGAGCTTGGTGTGTGGTGATATGGCTTGTATCACCAGGCGTTACACTCAGGTTCGTTAACCTGTTAACTCAGGTTTTTGTTGACCAAATAAAATATAAACACAAATATATACAAATACAAAACGATAAATCAACGGGTTTCTTCTTGATTGGACAACCACTAAATGTGGTCAACGGGTGTCTCCCGCAATGAATTTCTTCGTTCCTGCCACTCCACTAGTGCTGCTGCATCTTGGCACTTCCCCCACTTGAAATTGTGGTATGTCACCTCTCTCTACAACCAAGTGACTGCCTTATTCAGGTCTTACGTACATTGGTGTACTGTGAAACATTTAGCCGTTCATCCCCTGCACCCGTCTGCCTTATTCAGGTCTTACGACCGTATGCAAGAGAAGAAACAAACTAATGTTTATCCACTCCGTCACCAGAGAGGTCCCCTGAGTTCCTGTAACACAACATGTATTACCCCAGTGCAGCCCCAGTACATAGGCAGTTTCATACTACTTGTATGATATGAGAATTAATATTTTTTAGTGTTTAAGAATTTATATAAAAACGTAGGTCTAACATTTATACGAAACTAAACAACAACCATTTCCGTTTCACTACCCTCCCCTCAAGATTATATGCGTCCCGCATATGATTAACTATTTACAATATTTACATCTTTACAAAACTTTGCAATGCCTGACAATTTGTGATATCTCCCTAGGCATCTATAAATGCATCTTTGCCCAGAGTTTCTCGCACATCACAAGGTGCTGATCCGTAGGCCAAACTGGTTAGTCGTCTAATGATCTGACCTAACTCTGGTATTGAGTCAGATGCTCTCTGTCTTCGTTCTTTTAGCTGAACACGATACAGATCTGTTTGGTTAGGAGGGGATAACCTCTCCTCAAGGGATCTGACCACTGTCTTATAATGCTGACCAGTATCACTTCGTAAGTCACCTTACACTGACTGTGCTTGTCCACGCAGTGATACAGCTAAATAAAGACCTTTCTTTTCTTCTGCCCAGCCATTTACAACAGCGCAAGCCTCAAAATGTGACTTGTAGTCAAGCCAGGAACTACATGTAGTTCCGTCATATTTGGCTGGCTTGATTATGTGGCCTGTCTTGGCATTGTCTGTCCCTATTGATTGCCTTTGTGGTTTTGGCGTGTCAAACAGATGGCTCTTCACAACGTCGTCAACCCCAGCACGGTTTGTATAGCTTGGTTTGCCTTCATCTGGAAATCTAACTTTAGGCCGTGCGGCGTACTCGTCCAATGATACATCTCCTGACATACAGGCCGGTTGGTTGTCAGTACTGTGTGTTGCATATTCAGACTCTTGGCTTGCCGCATTTGTCTGACCATCGTTGCTGGTTAGCGTTCTCATCCTTTCTAAGAGCTTCTCCATCCGCTCTACAGTTTCTGACACTTTCTTAGACGAATCCATAGTCAACAAAATCCAGACGCTTGCCACCAAATTATGTAACGTGCAACGCGGCCGAGCTTGGTGTGTGGTGATATGACTTATATCACCAGGCGTTACACTCAGGTTCGTTAACCTGTTAACTCAAGTTTTTGTTGACCAAATAAAATATAAACACAAATATATACAAATACAAAACGATAAATCAACGGGTTTCTTCTTGATTGGACAACCACTAACTGTGGTCAACGGGTGTCTCCCGCAATGAATTTCTTCGTTCCTGCCACTCCACTAGTACTGCTGCATCTTGGCACTTCCCCCACTTGAAATTGTGGTATGTCACCTCTCTCTACAACCAAGTGACTGCCTTATTCAGGTCTTACGTACATTGGTGCACTGTGAAACATTTAGCCGTTCATCCCCTGCACCCGTCTGCCTTATTCAGGTCCTACGACCGTATGCAAGAGAAGAAACAAACTTATGTTTATCCACTCCGTCACCAGAGAGGTCCCCTGAGTTCCTGTAACACAACATGTATTACCCCAGTGCAGCCCAAGTACATAGGCAGTTTCATACTACTTGTATGATATGAGAATTAATATTTTTTAGTGTTTAAGAATTTATATAAAAACGTAGGTCTAACCTTATACGAAACTAAACAACAAACATTTCCGTTTCAATTAAAAGTAAGTGGAAAAAATGCATTTGTTAAATTCTTGGAAGTCTTAAGATTTTTTTTACAAATGCCCTGGGGAGAGAGAGATTAGATTTTTCCATAAAAGTTCCTCATATTATTTCTTATTTAGTTGCAGTATTGTTAAAAAAACCACACAACATGTCAATGTTTGTTTCAGTGTCGTTTCGAGCTTGGTCATATTTGATGCAGCAGCACAATTTTCAGCTTTGCAGCTTACTTAACTACTATTCGTCATCTTATTTATCCTTAGATCTCTCTCTCTTGAAACACCCTTATAAAGCAGGTCAAGGCCTTTTGGGAAGACAACTTCAGAATCTTGTAGAATTAAGAAAGGTACTGTAGTATCTGGAAATGTTAGAAAAGGGGAAAAATCAACTAATAAAAGAATTTAATAGCTTCACGAAATGTACCTGTTAAACCTGGTTTAATAATTGTTCATCATTTAGTTTTTTAAAAAAAATATGAGGAGAGCAAACAACGGACTTCTGAAACATCAGAGATGGGATCAGGTGCCATGCAGGAGTGAGCATCCCCTGCTTACCAGTCACACCCGCCGTGAGCTCCTTGTCATGATCGGGAAATACACTAACTGAAAATCAAGGAGAAGTTTGTTGACACCCTTTAATTTATCGGAATCAGATTGAAATAGCACATACGTTGATGGAATCGACTCGTTACAATGCCGGATTTATAATTTATTTATAATTGGAATAAAATTATTTTTGATGATTTTTTAAAAAATATGTCTGTTTATTTTGGGGCAATAAAAGCTACTTTGTGTACCTTGTGTATTACGTACGAATTAAATAACCCATACTGTAGCAATCAATGATATCTCATATCCAGAAGTTCAAGTAGTTGTTCTCGAGGGAAATGGACAGATCTGATTCAAGTAGGTTCATATGGAACACATACGACAAAATAAATATAGATGTTTGAAAAAAAAAATTTATTCATTTATTTATTAAATAATATATTTTGCTAAGTACATGCGTTTGGTCACTCTACTGAAATTTAAAGGCATATTTCTAGTTTATACTTATGCAGAGACTTAAAGTATTTTCCAGAATAGCTCTTACTCAATTTATATTATATCATAATGTAGCCTAAACTTTCCTACAGATTTTCCTCTTTATTCAAAATAATAAATATAATTGGAAATGGAATAAAACCTGCCTTTTGAAAGTTAAAAAACTTGTTAAGCCCTGTGTCACTTGCATTTGGTTGTAATATAAATATTGGAAATGTGTGGGTGCTCTTGTAAGTTGTGTTTGAAAGCTTGTTGCAGAAAAACACATCCACAAACGAATCTAATTATTCTTATTGCTTACTGACAGTCTGATGCAGTTGGAAGAACAGTTAATGAACTCATAAATCAATGTGCAAACATGCATCAAAGAGGTACAGTATTTAGAATTTTATCATTCATTTATTTTATCACCTATTTTCGTCAATATCTTATCCATGGATTTAATCTAAAAAACATGCAATTTTATGATACCTAATCAGTAGAGAATTTTCATATTTTATGATTTTGTTTATCTGGGTAATGTCTTTGATAAAGAAAAGTGGCAAAATCATGGATGTCAATATTAATACTCTTATGCATTCATCTATTGAAAAATCTGATGGAATATCCTTAAATTTAAAAACACTTTAATTATAACCTTATATATGAAGATTGGCAGCTTTCATGATTTTGTTTATTTGACGAATGTCTCTGATACGTGGGTTGATCAAAAAGTAATGTCACAACTTCGTAAGAAATGACAATATATATTTTCATGTAGGCATCTAAACGAGAATCAGATGCAAGGAGACGTCCTGTCACGGGGGAGGGGACCAAAAACCCCCTAATCCTCTCCAGTGTAAACAGAAATTTTACATTATCTTGAAGACTTTGTGGTCTGTCTTTAGGACATCATACAGAAGAAGGTATTTTATAAATTTTGAGTAGCCAAAAAAAAACAACAACAATAATTTATGCCTTAGAACAATAATTTATGCCTTAGATGTGATAATATATTCATTGATTACATATTAATTATTAGAAATAACAGGTATTGCATCTTTAATATCTATATTACTATTTTTCAGTAGTTCATGCTGCTACCTGGTGATTCCTTCTAAGAGATGCTGCATGTAGCTAGTGAAAATACTTGCATAGGAAGCAGAGAGAACTTCATTTATTTGTTAATTTGTTTGTGTAAATTTGAAGAAATGATATTAGATTGATAAATGGGTAGTTGAAATTGTCAAACATTGTTACCCTCAGCTTCATGTAATATTTGTAATGAATTTTATTAAGGGTTATATTAAATAACAATGCACATATGCATACAATGTCTTCTAAATATTGATGGTACCCATACATGTACAGTATCTCCTTTAATAGCTTACACCAAAGTTATAAATGTATGCCAAAAATTATAGAAACAGGAATAAATAAACTTGATATAATTTCAAGACTTTTTCTTATTCTGTATCATTTTTTTTAAAATGTCGAAGTCATCATATGTTTCTTTGCAGATATTGCTACATGTATTTTACTTTAATCAATGATTTGGGTTTGATCCAATTGATGGTAAGGTATTTATGTAGAGCTTTAGGCAATAAAAAGCTTTTAGTAGACATTATAAGATACGTACATAATTGTACATGTATAGAAGGTAAAAATTCCCCATTCTCTCTTTGGGTATGGAAGTGATAGAATTAGAGTAAGACTATACTTTTGAATGAATACAGGATTGACTGGTGACATGTACAGATTTACAACTGATTAGAGATCCCTATAGCTGCAGGAACATCACATTTCTTTCTTCAAGAAACAATAAACACAAACAAACAGATGTTTCTTTTATGGTAAAAATATATATTATGCATCTATTTTGTTGTTTTAAAATGGAGTTTTGTTTCGTGATTAAGAAGTCATTTTTTGCAAGCACAGCTACTGTCGGTACATTTACAATTTTCTGGTCCGGTACAGCCCTTTCCACAACCACAGGTTCCTGAAAATAAAAAAAAAAGGGGAAATTTGAATCTGTCTGAAGTAAAGAACAGCAAGGGTTTAACACATTGGAGGACAGAAAAATAGATAACCAAATGTTTGTAATGCAATCAGTGAATCAGTGGATTCAACGAGACACTACCCCTTCCCTCGAATGCATTTGTAAACGTTGTTTTATTATTGTTATAAATGTGTGCCAAAGAAAAATACTGTTTTTAAACATTCCTTTCAAAAGTCGTTCAGCAATTTTTTGTTGTTGATTTTTTACTTTTGTTTAAAGATTTTCAAAAACCGCTATCAGCCAATTCAGTTGCGAGCAATGATCCTCTATATATATATCTGATATAGATATAAATGTTCAATCAAGTTTTTACCTGCATACCAGGTATTTCTTTTTTAAATCTATTTACACACGTTCATTACTGGGTTAATATACTCTACAAACGTACCGCTGCAGTTGCATTTAATTTTACATCCGGGACATTTACAGCTGGGTCCACATTTACAACTGGGGCCACATTTACATCCACTTGATGGGCAGGAATCTGCGCATTCGCACTTTCCAGCTAGAAAAAAAATTCAATGTAAATCAACTTATGAAGAGCGACAACTCCAAAATCAATATAACTCGAACAGTAAATATTTGGTACACGTATACACTGTACAATGAAAATCTCGACTTACTTTCTATGCAGTTGCAGGGGTCAGACATTTTTGGGACGCTTTATTGCGTGATTACTGAAAGGGAGAAAAAGATTTTTTAAGGTATTATAATATTGGTACATTAGTCATGAAATTAATATTGATTTTTTTTCCATCAGTATCGTAAACATGGTAATTTAAAAATATCTTTGTTCAAAACTAAGTAAAAAATATTAACCTACCTTTAACTGCCCAGAAATGTATATTCCTTTGTTAAAAGGAGTTCTTATGAGTATCACTCCCGTTGAATAAAGAATACAATTACGTATATATACACGTTATACAAATATTCAGCATCGTGTGCAAATGGCGATACGTTGAATACACAGTATCGTGTGCAAAATGTATAAATTTTAATTTTTTTTACAAAGTTGATTAGGAAATGACTTTAGACTGTAGTATAAAAAAGTAAATATTTATAGCTTACATCAAGGTTATCAGTGTAATGCCTGAGATTAAAATAGAAATAAAATGAACTTAGTATTTTTCTGAATTTTTTTTCTATATTGTCAGCTTTGTCGATTGTTTTTTTTAAACATCGGAGTCACATTACGTGATGTTCTTGGCAGATTTCCTTGTTTGTACTTTAATCAATGTACTGGGCTTGATTCAATCGCTGATAAAGTATTGAGAGCTTTGGGTAATTGTGCAAATGTACTTGTCACGAGATAACTTAAGTATAAGATATATATATAACTGTTATAGTACATACGTAATGGTAATATTTTTTTATCTCGATTGATAGAAATTATCATGCAAATGTTGGATTATGGTAAAACAAATTGTTTTTAAGAAAATGCGTTATTTGTAGAAATGATTTGTCAATGTTTTTGCTTATTTGATAATTTTTTTGAAAAAATATTGTGTATATATGATTTCGATTTTCATAAATGTACTTAAAACTTTTGATGATTTATTTCTCGATCACTTCAGATCTTCACTTGCATAAAATTTCTTAGATAAAAACTGTCATATAAAATTATTCCTCTAATAACCACTTTACAGTTTTTTGACATTTGCGTTGGTTACATTGCACGTATGTAAAATATATGCTCTTGAGAAGAAAATCAGAAATGTTTGAGATTAAAAGTAAAACATATACGGAATTACAGTTCAGGGACGTAAAACCCCGAAAACTTATTTCCACTTTCCACACGGCGAACTATTCAGAGTCATCATTTTATTGTCCCCCTCCCTCGCTTCTCCAAAATATGTATTCCCCGGATTCAAATAATAGACCTATACTTGCTACCTGCATGGTTTCACTCTTCATAGTTAACGGTTATGATCAACTGGGGAGGATCCAATCTCTAGGATTGCAGGGGAGGATCCAATCTCTAGGATTGCAGGGGAGGATCCAATCTCTAGGATTACAGGGGAAGATCCAATCTCTAGGATTACAGGATCCAATCTCTAGGATTACAGGGGAGGATGCAATCTCTAGGATTACAGGGGAGGATCTAGTCTCTAGGATTACACGGGAGGATCAAGTCTCTAGGATTACAGTTGGTCCGTGTTTTACGCCCTCTTCACAAGTCTGCATGCATTCTTTATAGATGTTTTGAGATTCACCATTTTCTTAATTTACTCCTGTTTTTCATTAATTTCTAGCATATACTTAAGCATTGAATTCATATTTTTGGATGTCTTCGGTCCTATAACACACCTGGCCGTGCCGACAAATTGAATATCGCGCGTTAGCGCGGTAGGATTACGGGGAGGATCCAATCTCAAAAATAGAATTACAGGGAGGATTCTCGAATCTTCATAATGGCTTATTTCGTTAATCTTAAATGTGAATTTAGCTCCCTTCAAAACTGCCGTAGTTATTAAATGTAAGAGCCGTTTGTGACGTCAAATAACGTTAAATGGCGTTGCAAAGTTAAATAACGCAAACAAACATTGAGAGGAAAAAAGTGACAAATTAATTCTTAACACACATTACGTTAATTTTAACGTCAATTTTTCAGGGTTATAGTTTTTCATTAAATTGAAATAAAACATTTTACATTTTGGTGTTCCTAAAGTATTGAAAATTTTTTTCCTGTTGTGTTTCACGCGCGGTGAAATTTCGTGTGTTAACATGGATTTCTATGGATTATATAAAGAAAATTACATGAATGTAAATATATATTATATTAAATTATATTATATTATAGAAATATTTTCTCAAGTATAAGAAACCAATAAAAAAGAAACACTCAATTTATAGTATTTTATGCATTTATTTTGTTTTTTACATTTGGAAATTAATCATGAGACAAAGCACTCATTTTTTTACAGACGCAGCTACTGTGGGTACATTTACAGGACTGTGGATCAATACACCCCTGTGTGCAAGCGCAGTTTCCTGCAAGTTACATAAAATATCAACAGGTATGTAATACTTGTATCCTTTGTAAGTCAAAAGGAAACTAGAAAAAGTATTGACAATTAAAATACTCGAACAAACTTTGAAAAGTAACAAATTAACACAAAGTAATGGAAATTATTCAAACTGTAAAATGCTCTTCAGAAAGTGGGATGTGTTTGTAGGGGGAAATATGTACAAAGCTTTACTGCTGTATGTAACAAAAGGAGGTGACCTCCTAGCCTTTCAATGAATTTTCAACAGTAAAACACGTTTCGGAGGATAAATTAGGGTGGTTCTTTCAGTTCGGGAGGATGATATTTCGTGTCTACATTTTTATCGAATTGTTGAATATGATGCATGACATTGACATCAAGAATTAACGGCGTAATCAGTGTGAAGAAAAGAAAACAACACACCGAACGTGTCAGTAATATTTTCAGTAATCCAATGTTATGAGCCAAGAAGATCGATCAGGATTTGACCCTCATATAAGAATATTTGACAATTGATACATCAAAATGATAGTTCTCTGATTGTTGTTTTAAATGCACAACAGTACTAGTGACCATAGCAAAACTTGAACAACCTCCTTAACTTACAGAAAGACACAACCTGTAAAATCTGCATAGTGTATATAATAATAAGATTGAATTTTAGATGCTCATTTTACAAACTAAATGAAAAAAACTATGTCTTAACGTTCCAGTTGCATTTTACTTTACATCCGGGACATTTACAGCTGGGTCCACATTTACAACTGGGGCCACATTTACATCCACTTGATGGGCAGGAGTCTGCGTACAGACATTTCCCGCCTGAAAAAAATGTCAAAACTTAGATCGAGGTACTGTGAGCAATAAGCTCACTATAAAGGATACCCCCCGCCTCCCATATGAATATAATGACAGTGTCCATTTTTTGTAATGGGAACCCCAAAATATGTGTCGAATCAAAATGTAAAGTAAGAGGTGCACAATGGCAATTAATATGCAATAAAGATTCTATGAAAGTCTCATAAATTTCATTCGAGGTATGAGAGGAGTTGCGGATAAGAGATGAGTACACATAAGTGTAACAGACGGACGTACAGGCGGACGGACGATCGTGCAGGCGGACATTCCGTTTACTTTGTACCCTCCCGTTTTTCAAGTGGGAATATAAAAATATTTCATACAGACAAAGATCAACGATAACTTTAATTACCTTGAACCAATTCGAAATATTATTTTACATATCATTTAACAGGTCGGGTACACTACCTTATATCGTACGCAATTTTCAACATGTGACGATGTTTTCGTCACACACGTTCTCAAATCGGTTTGTTCCCTTTTTGCACACATTTGAATTACAGGTAATTAAAAAATGTGTAAAAATCGGGAATTTGACCAGGTGAGATAATTACTTAATTGCTATAGTCTATACCATACTTAGCTTAGTAAGTATGTGAAAGATGAACTTATAGTGAAAAAATTAGAGAATAAATACAAAATTAATGTATTTGATTATCTGATGATCTTATTGGCTTGGGCATTATTTTCAAATTACTTCTTTTCACTATTTTCTTTATTATTTGTTATATCTTTAATTCATTTAGAATTTTATCAAGATTGAAAAGTACATATTCTTACTTTAAGAAATTGGACTTAATAATGAATAATATTAAACAAATATTAATAATTTATTCAATAAAATCAAATATTTTCCCATAAATATATTATATAGAATTTTAATGAAATGCTTATAAAATTGTATTAAACCTCTTAAGAATACATTAAGCTAAATCAGGTATTCACAGGTAAAATCTTAACCAGAAATCAGACTATAATTGCTATCAAAACACACTTCACACCTTTTGTTCTATACTAATTACCAAATGTGTGCAAAACGGGAACACACCCTCCAATCAATTTAACGAGCAGGACAGTCTACTACGTCTTTACGATTCAATAATGACACGTGGTTTTCGTCGGTTACTGCATTATATTCACTTCGTCACGAGAAAAACCGCAGAGCTTTTTTTTTTACTTTATAAGGCCGAAATTGAAAGATTATATTCCAAAGACACATCTTCATTCTCAGATTTAATTAATTTTGGGGTTGTTTTAGATGATTAATAGTTGTTTTGAATACCGTACAAACGTTTTGACGTTTGCATGCTCATTAAAACATTTTGATAATATTGAGGGTTAAATTATAATTGCACACCTTGTTCTGCTGTCTTAAACGATGTACACGTATAACACGTGAAAAAAATCTCAATGCTACAAGCACCTACATCTCTTTGAATAATGGTTTGTGCCGATATATAACAAGTTGATAAAAGGCTTCACAAAGCAAATTTTGTAAATATGGACTACGAAATGCAGAATTATATATCATTTATAATACTTCTTTCATAAATCTAAAAAAAAAATGATAATGAGTTTCCAGGTTACTATTCAAGTTGCCCTTTATTTTCAACACAACTGAGTAATTGTAGTAGCTAATAATGCATTGCGATTCATTCATCAGTGGGTAAAGTAAACAAATAGCTAACTTACATGCAAATTTAGGCTGACCTCAGAAAATGTAGTGGTCTCGACCTTTTAACTCAATAAAACAGAGGACTTTACGGATTTTAAATTTGAAAAGTGTTGAAGTCCCCCACCCCACTTTGAATAAAACTAGTTCATTGTCACTTTTGCAAAATATAAGTATTAACAGAAATGAAAAAAATTGTTTAGATTTTTGTCATTTGGCTTTGGTTTGTCATACAAAACCCAGCAATACCACTGTCAATATTATTGAATATAATCGTATTTAATGATTCAACACTAGTTTACAGTAAACAACATTAATAATAGTATTACGTGTGGATGGACAAAGCATGTTACTTCCTATAATGATGATATTGATAGTTACATAGTACAACAGTGGCAGAATAGTCTTACTAATTCCATTCTTTAAATTTTCTTATACATATTTAAAACACTATCCGGTCAAATCACAGCAAATGTAAAACATGCTTTTTTGAGGACAGAAAAGGGGCTTTGACTAACCACGTGAAGTTGCAATTGGTGACTACAAATGCCGTACTAGTAAACAATCATTCAATTTAATTGGCCAGTGTTATCAGGGTATTGTATTCTGAGTTTCATATGCAAAATAGTATTGATTCCATTAAAATAAAACATCCAATCGATGAGGAAAATGATAATCAGTACACAAACTTTTAGCACGCATCATCAAGCAAACCGTCACGTTGTTAGTAAAATGATAATATAATGCCTTCCATACGAAAAAAAACCCCCAAAATAACACAGAAATAACGTTTTAATTTTTAAGAAAAATATACGTACTTATGGAAAATCTATTTTATAATTACGCGCGTATGATTTTTTAAAATAAAAAGTTATTTCTGCGTCATTTTTTGGATTTTTCATATAGAACACATTGACATATGCACTAAAAATGGATTTATGAAAGAAGAAAGATAAAAATATCCTTTGACCCAGCCTTGGCTGCAGATGTTAAAAAATAGGATGCTTGTCAATTTGCCTCCGAAGAAAAAGTTTATTGGCCAACAAGAATAAAAAAAAACATTATATAATGCTTGAATCTATTTTAAATCTATTAAAAACATATATTTTATTGCTTGATTAAACAAATGACCTTCTTACTGAAAGTTTCCGACTTTCAGTAAAATTGGAAGCATTCCGTAATATGCCGTGATCTTGACAAGTAACAAATACAGATGGAATGTTTTGTAAAGATAGTTTTAACATATCACAGGATCTTTTGGTAAAATTAAAGAAATAAATGGAATGTGCAAATCAAGAAGTAGACAAATGCTTTATTTAAAAATTTATAAATATCAAGTAATAAGAGAGATAGAAAGAGTTATTTTGATGTCTAGTCGGTTTTTTTTGGTCGGCACAAATATGCGTATAATGGTATTTAAAGGGACGTATATCATTAATGTAGGCTTTTTTTTTTATCTGGATGTCTTGTCTAATTTGTTACAACTTTAATTTTCAACGTTTATACGCTAACACGCACCAAGTCAAATAGCATATTTTGACGTTCGAAAATCAGCCCCAATTCTCTGCGCGACGTCTAATCTAGATGTGTATAATGAGTAATAAATTCAAAAGATTTATCGTGAGATTGTATATTGTTGATTTCTTTTATCGAACAACCGATGATATCGAAAATGGCGTATGCTTATTTACGAGTCGTGTTCAGCGTAAAATACAAACTCTTTTAAAAACTTTGCCATCTTTCTTGGTTACATGTATGCACGTAATTATGAAGTTCTTTGTGAACGCAGGAAAAACGCGGGACTTTCATGTATTTCAAAAATAAGAAAGATATATATTTGGAAGTTATCAAGTATTGTCCGTTGTGTTTAAGTGTTATCCTTTAGAGAGATGTAGTTGGTGTGCTTCTTCTATGAGCTACCATCTTTTAAGACCTGTTGAACACCACTCCGCTCAAGTTATACTCTGATGACATACATAGAAAAAACAAACTTGCTGCATGTATTTGTTAAGGGTAACTGGGTATTTTCATAATACGGAGCAGAAAATTATGATCGTTTTGCCCACGTCTTTCAAAGGGAATTAATCTTAGTTGTCGAACTTTATAAAAGAATTGACATTATGTTAATTTCAGAAAATACATCAGGTCTTAAGCAAAATTTGTATAAAGGAGAAATGTTTGGATTGTTAATGAAGTGATCTAGAAGGGACTGGGTTTACAAAGTGAAACAGTAGAGACTGGATATCAAAGTGAAATAGTAGGGATTGGCTTAACAAAGTGAAATAGTAGGGGCTGGGTTAACAAAGTGAAATAGTAGGGGCTGGGTTAACAAATTGAAATAGTAGGGATTGGGTTAACAAAGTGAAATAGTAGGGATTGGGTTAACAAATTGAAATGGTAGGGATTGGGTTAACGAAGTGAAATAGTAGGGATTGGCTTAACAAAGTGAAATAGTAGGGACTGGGTTAACAAATTGAAATGGTAGGGATTGGGTTAACGAAGTGAAATAGTAGGGATTGGCTTAACAAAGTGAAATTTTTAACCAAGTGAAATGTGGGGTAACCAAGTGCACATGGGTAAACATAATAATTTGAACCTGATTTAACAAAGTAAAATGATAGAGACTGAGTTAACAAAGTGGAATAGTAGTGACTGGGTTAACGAAGGGAAATAATAGGGATTTGGTTATCAAACTTAAAATCTATTTTATTTCAGGAATAAACTAAATAGCAGTCCAATCAATACAGTATAAACTGGGTTGGCTCAATTTACGCTTTAATATTTACATTTATAATAAGTTTCCCCCACGAATGTTTATAAAAATAGAAAACAGTAGTAGTATAGGACTAGCTGCCATAGAAAAGCAAACATCCCCTGGCAACTAGATATATCTGCCGTGTGTACGCTCCATTTCATGATTAAAAAAAAGAAGAAAATCCGTAGACAGTTCTGTGTGAAAATAATGCCCCAACATGTTTCATAGAAAACGTCAGTCAATATAATCAGGGTTCTCCACCGTTTGAAATTTTACTGTGTTGCAAAGTTTACGCTAAATTTTCGTGTTTTTAGCGCTATCACATTCGCAATTTAATCAATATTTATTATAATTACAAAAGAACACATGTCCACACTTTTTAAAAAAAAAACACTAATTCGTTACACAAATGGTAAGGTCGTACATATTGATAAAAGTAAAATCACACGTTCTGAAATACATTCTCGTATATAGGAAATTCTTGTCGATAAAGTCGATCTACTCACCATGTTTTAGAGTTAATTTGCCGTGATTTATTTTTGTCAGTTTTCTTGATCGAATTACCGAATTACAAAAAAAGAAGCTTCAGAATAGTAAAATGCTTTTCAGAGATCCTTGAAAATTTAAAACAATTTATTTACATCAATTAGTAAATGATTTCGTTACGATGTTATATGTTTGACTTACAGTGTCAAGATGATTTTAGAGCCATGGTTCTATAGAAAGGTTTTATTAGATATATATATATTTTAGAATATAATATAATGTATTTTAATGCACTGTCAATTAACCGTTACATGGAAGTGTGAAAACAATTATTTGTCTTTGTTCTTTCATGCATAAAGTCCGGCGAGGGTCTAGAAGATAATTGATTATGCAAGGTGAAGCCCTAATTAAGTGTCCCACCTTTTAGCATTATTTGATTAAAGTTTCATTTAGAGAGAATTTATATGTTTGGATTTTCTTATTATCACAGATCATACTGTGTCGGCAAAATTTTTACTGTGCCACACGCATAAAATTTGAATCGTTACTGTGTTGGGGAAAATTTTACTTTGTCGGGACCAACACAGTAAAACAGCTCATTGAGAACCCAGATATTATATAAACTGCATTTTTCTATACGACCACGGTATTGTATCGTAGCAAATAGGATTTATAAACTCAATATGCATGATATAATGGTATTATTCAATTGTATATAAATAAATGAAGTTGACAATTGACAAGTTGAAGTCATCAGGTTTATAATAAAGTTTTGTTTTAAGTTTGCCATGAATGTTTTTTCTAGCATAGAAGAGGAAAATGAATATTGTAAATGCCTAAAGCGCAGTTGATATGCATGCCATGAATGTCTTTTTCTAGTTGTTAATATCGAATTGAAAGCCACATCAAGAGATCTTTTCATGTAGAATTTTTAATAAACTTATTTTAAAAACACAAAGAATACTTCTGCCAATTAAGGCGCGTATGTAATTAGTACCCATAATAAATTCACCGTATTGTTGGGAAACTTGATTTCCAAAAACTACAAAATAATATGATAAACAGAAATTCATGCATCTTTTAAATATCAACTCCGGGGTACTTGTGTGTACAATCGGTATGTTTTCAACAAAATATTTTGCATTACTAAGATCCAAGAAAACACAGACTTTTAAAAGGAACCCTTCTGAAACATCAGAAGTAAGATAACGTGTCATGTAGTATGAGAATCTCCTGTTTAACAGTACACCGGTGTGTGTGCTCTTTGTTTTGAACGGGTAAACATTGAAATCCATAAACAATTGTGGATGTAAATTAGTGACGTAACTATCTTATTTGAAAGACATTAATCAACTTTCGACCTTACGACAAAGTGTATTAAGGATAAATAACGCACACAAACTGTTTACAGAAATCAGCAATATTACTCAAAGATTAATACATGTATTCAAATAGGTAACATGAATGATATTTTCAGGTGAAAGTGGGAAATTTGGTAAAAACAAAAGATTTTATTTGTGTTATGCATCCTTAATATTACAACCAATTCAATATCGTAAGGAATACAGTATGTTAAGACATATTATTATCCTATTCTGTCCTCAAACACTTCTAAATTAACACGGACAGGTGCTTCTTGTTTGACATTATTTGCTAACATAGGATATCAATAAACACGGGATATTTGAGAAGTTTTAACATCTTCTTTGCAAAATATCCCCAGAAACACAATGTACAAGAATCCTGCAATATTGAATAAACAAAAGAGACTGAAGTGCTTTCTCTTTATTTTGGTTACATTTCAAATACAAAAGAAATATATGCATTTGATTTTCAGTAAGAAGGTTATTTGTTTAATCAAGCAATAAAATATATGTTTTGGCAAGGTTTAAAATAGATTCTTGCATTGAATAATGTTTTTTTCATTCTCGTAGTCCAATGGACTTTTTCCTTGGAGGCCAATAGACAAGCATCCTATTTTCTAACATCTGCAGCCAAAGCTTTCAATGTTGTCATGTTAATGACCTTTTTCCCCAGGTTGTGCGTATCATTGACAGAGAGAGTGATCTTGGCAATCAGGGCAATGCCGTCTGTTGCGAATGCAGCAACGATAGTTGCGGCTATCAGAGCGATGGTTTTGATTCGGTCCAACCATGACATTTCCGACAAAGCAATTTTAATAACTTTCCAGAATATGCCAAAAGAATAGGTGTCTTTCAGCAGAGTGAAAATTGCCTTTGCCTTTCCCCAAGTACTTCCTGTTGTCCAGCTCTGAAGAAATTCGTCTATGATTCTTCTGAAAGCGGGCTGTTCCACTACTGGAATGATTTCTTGGATTATTTTGCGTATCAAGGTCTCCTTTAAGATTACTTTAACTCCAATGACGCCAAGAACCAGAAATATGCATTCAGTGACAATGCTAGCTATTTGTAAAGTACTTGCATATGCGATGCCTTCCATCGAGGTAAGTTGTATGGGGTCAAGGAATTTTTTGCCTCCACGCTCAAAGGTTGCTCTAGAGCCCGTTATTATCATCGTAAATGTTTCGTCATCGACATACTCTGATATTTTCTTATAATCTTCATCCGAGAGATGCTTTCGGAGCTTTTCTCGCATTTTTGCGTCTGGAAGCTTGGAGAAATCAGCAAGGAAGTTGGTCAGGGTAGCTTCCTTTTCAGCGCAGTTCCTCATATGCTCTTGTATTTCCCTGCGCTCGTCCTGAGAACATTCTTGCATTGTTGGTTCCACGATTTCAAGTGCCATCTTGAGCACACCGTCGACAATAGCTACAAAGACAACAAAGATTCCCACGCCTTTCGTTATAACTAAAACATTCACTGTTAGCAATCGAAATGCAATGAAATTTAATAATATGGAGAAATTTTTCCAACATTTGTGAAATTCATCGAATTTTTCTTGGATATTTTGATGTCACAAATATTGAATGAACCCTAACTTCAACATGCTGAGCTTTATCATAAGGCATACATGTATCAGTATTTAGGTAACGAAAGTTTGAACGAAATTCAAAAAAATCTTAAAAATAAGATTACTTATTAAGTTAATAGAGTGTCTCTCTAAAAAAAATCATAAAATCATAGAAAATCATAGATACATTTGGATGGAGCAGCCATCTTCTTTATTGTTGATTCCTAAAAAGTGAAATAGATTAGCTTTTTAAATATTGTTTCTAAAACCCAAATTATGGGAAAATTTACATCGATACAAGTGCAATATAGTCTCTTTACAGAAGCATTTATTTACTCACAAGGGCATGGTTTATGTATTTGATAAGTCAAAATTGCATTTGTATTAAATTTTTTAACTAAACTGTGTTGAACTAATAAGATATAGTTACCTTTTCTCCAAACTCTGGGTGAGAAGACTCTGACTTTTCTTTGAAACTTCAGCAGATGTAGTCATTTATATAGCAGTTATTGTGAAAAACCCCTTCACCTGCACCTTCAGAGGAGTTATGTAATCCACATTAGATGTGCCAACATCCAATGAAAAGAAACTAAAAATTACTTTTTATTCCTACATCAGCATGTTTTTTTTTTTCAATAACCGACATATAATGTCAGACATATTTTTAACATCTGTATCTGTTTACATTAATATATTATCCCCTTAAAGAAGTATTCTCATTAATTTTTTTTCCTCTCAAGGCTGCTGTAAGATTATATTTAAACTAATGTCATTATGATAAATAATCTCTATTTACATGTTTTTTTGTATATTTTAACAAAAAAAAAAAAAAAAAAAAAACCAGAGTTACTTTTGTCATATTTGAAGTTATACATGTATTACTTATACGCTACTCTGAAATAAAGTTTGTTTAGGTGATTTGACTGTCAAGCATGCATGAAACATTTAGGTTAGGAACAGTCACCAAACTAAAAAAAATCCATTTAATGAATTATATTAATTTTGCATTCTCTCTAGATCTGTTTTCTCTCATTATGAACCTGCACTCTTCACTTGCGTTCATAGGCCTATGAATACAACTCATTCTCCTATTCGTCTCTCACAATCGCACAATACATGCTTCTATACTAAGGTTTTGCCAAAGGTCAAGATGTCCGAAAATTCATTTTTACAATATCTTCAAAACTATTTGAGGTATAAAGTTTAAGCTTTTAAAGTTTATAAATATATCATTGATTAACAGATAGAAAATTATCATTTGATAGCAAATATTAAAAAAAAATAGTTATCGAGAAAAAGTATATTTAAAAAAATTTTGTTTTTAAATGCACCTGTTTAATTCTGTACTTTTGATAAAAGTCATTTCAGATATTATGTATGTTTATCAATATAGGACAAGTTGGACGTGAACGGTCTCTTGAAGACTGTTATTGAGAGCATGATATGAATGAAGACATGACCCCTATAAAATCCTCCATTTGCGATGTACTTCCATTTTGATATCCTAACATTTTTACAAAATAAACAGGGAAAACAACTTTGAAGAGGCCATCCAAGGCCAACATGCCCTTCGTTGATAAAATTTATATTTTTCATTCGTTGATATTCAACAGTGACAGACCTGATGTTACATCACGGAAGACAGTACAAAATACATGTATGTCAAAAACTTGAATAAAATGAAAGGTATAATAAAACATTTATTGACTGAGTTTTAGGACAAATGCGTTTTGTCGACACCTCGAACCAAACTCTAACGGCCTCAGGCAAACAATTTGGTTCCTAGGTCCGACAAAACGCATAACGCATTTTTGACATGCATGTATTGTGTACTGTCTCCAGTGGTGTAACATCAGGTCCGTTACAGTTGAATACCAACGAATGAAACTTCCAAAGAATAAGAATTTAATAATTTTGTCTCACAATATATCACATATCGAAAATGAGCAAGATTTGCCTGAACATGGAGCTGAATCTCCATTTAGAATATGCAGATAATTGTAGCCAAAGTAATTCAGAATTGCTTGAAAATTACTGCGCTTTGCGTTAATTCTTCCAGAATGTGTCTGTATGGTGAATTAGGGTGAACAAGGGTGGGAACCATTATACCTTAAAAGATGTATAAAATGATTAATGGTTCTCCAACTGATTATTTTATGATTTGATTCAACCTTTTTTTCCAGTTTAACATGCATACAACCTAAGGTCTGGTTGTAATAACTTATGTATACAAGTTTGTAAAACAATGTCGTTCTATAATAGTTTTATTCCCTCAATCATAAAACTTTGGAGCAGTCTTAGTGAGGATGTAAAAAATTCTACCTCATTATCTATCATTAAAGCAAAGCTAAAAAATCAGGGAGCAACTAATACACCTTGTAGGTATATTAAGAATATCTTGCATTGTAAGTTGCTAAACAATGCTAGCAATCTTAATGCACAGTTTAGAAGTCATTTTTTTTTAAATCAAATGTTCAAATATGTCAAAAGTGTGGCTTTTATACTGAGGATACTGAATATTATTTTATTAACTTCCCATCATACATGAATATTGTTGAAAGAAACTTATAGGTAAAAAAATTAAATGATATTGGCGTTGCTTTTGAGCTACTAAGAGGAAAATGTCAATACTCTAATCAAACAAATTGTAAACTAGTAAAATATGGACACGAATTAATGAAATCTTCTAAGAGACTAAATTAGTAACACTATTATATTAAATACTCTATTAAATTCATGATTTTTTCTAAATATTTTTCGTATTAATTTTAAGCTGGAGCAGTATGTAAATCATATGTATACAGTTACGGGGTTGTCATTGTTTAAAATATAATATTTGATGATTAATAATTGATTGTGAACCTTTATTTTTCACAACCTTATTGATTATCATGTACATTCCTTATTATTGTATCTCGACCTATTATACAACAATCCTTATTGTATTATTCAATAAAATATGTTTTAAGTATACCCAGTGTTTTCCCGTGCAGGTTTACAAACACTATTTGTTATAGTGCTATTCTGTCTTTCTTTATAGTCTATAATCTGGCGAGGTAGAGGGCAGTTTGGGGATGGGGACCTGAACACTTCATGATTGTTAAATTTGAATCAGGGATGGGGTAATTCAAAAAAAGTAATTGTAATTGACTGTAATTCATAAAATTTTTTGAAGTAATTGGAAGTAATTTGTAATTGAACATTTTTTCAATTACTTGTCATTGTAATTTTTATTAATTACACTGAAAATTTGCCATGTAATTTCAGTTAATTTTTCAATTACATTCAATTATTTTATATAATACAAATGCATGATATATTGTCACCACAACCTCCCATTATACTGTCTTTTATTTAATTGCAAAACATATCCTTAGTCCCTCAATGATACAGAAGACAGATTATTTCATAATAATAATGTATTTCTTTCTAATCATTATATAATTTTCTTTTGTTTTATGTTTATCTGAATTTTGCACCACCATTCTAAGGTCTATTCAGCCATGAAACACACATAATTTGTAATATTTCAATCACTTTTATCAATGAGGAATAAGAATGTGTGTATCAAGAAAAAAAGGAATGTGTTTGTCATTAATTAAAGTCTCTCTTCTTGCTATTAAAATATAATTGCCCTCCGGATAGCATCTGTAAATTGCAATCAAAACAAATCAACCCCTCAAAAGAGGTATTCATTCCATGAATTAGATGACAAAGTCAATGCATCGAAATTATTATTTTTAATTAAAAAATGCTCATCTAGTTTAAGAAAAGAAAAAAAATTCAATTTAATAATTATTTCAAAATTTGAACAAAATTTTATAAATAAATTTTATATATGAAACAGTTATGTTTTGTACAAGTATTATTTATGAAGTAAAATGTTCATCATAAATAGCAATTTAGGATGTTATGGTTACCTTAAAAAGAAGTATTTAATTGGAGGGGTTATAGTTGCGACATATTTTACTCTAGTATAACACCCCCTTTTAATCAATTATTATATCCCATGCAATTTGTGTACATGTAGGTTTCGTGTGGAGGAACTGCATCAAAGTGATCTCGGATAATTCTTTACTGTTTTGTAAATAAAAGTTATGATTTAAACCACAAAGATACACAATGCCTGATAACATATTATTTCTAGCATTGTTTTTCCAGAGACTACACTTATATACAAATAATATACAAATAATTCTCCCTTTTCTGTATAATCATATGATTATAAAAAAAATTCAAAAATTCAAAATGTAATTTGTAATTTAATTAATTACTTTTGGAAGGTATTTTTAATTTTTTTTTTTAATTACTTGTCTTAGAAAGCCTGTAATCTAAATTTAATTTAATTGACGAAAAAGTCAAAGTAATTTAATTAAATCAATTACTTTTAAAGTAATTGACCTCATCCCTGATTTAAATTTACAAAATAAAAGAACCCACGGAGCAATATGAGGATCCATACTTAAGGCCTTTTTTTGTCGAGAAATTGTTGAATCCAATTACGAACTTGTACATGTAATATTATTAAGAGTGTAATAAAATCAAGAATGACCTCTCTCTCTCTCTCTTAGGTTTTAAAAAATCTTGCCTTTATTCATATAACCTTATCACATCTCTTAATTTTTACAATGTGTTACACCTGTATATTCATAAACTAAGCGGTCATTTTATTTGCTTACATTGCATGTCTGTTAATTATCTTACATAATAACGACCTTCGTGTTAGTTCATATTCATGAAGAGATAAACAATCTAGCATTTTCTCCTTTAACAAAGTTTTCTGAGTGTATGATGTCATCCTAATATTATAACAGCTATCCGAGATGCATAACTCATTACCAATATACTTAATTTCTGTACCATGCGTAATGTGCTCGAAATAATACCTACTACAGCCATGCATACTAATTCATACCCCAAAGTTCAAGTTGTTGAAGTTGTGTTCAAGGAAAATAGACTGAGTTAAACCACGTAGGTTTATGTGAAGGACAGCATGTTTATAGTTAAGAATAACATTTATACATTTAGAAAAAAAGAATATTATTTTTATACAGCCCGGAGTCGGAGGACGGGATGCTCTATACAAACAGTTCAATGGATGCAAAGCAATCGGCCACAAAAATATAGCATTTCAAAGAATTTCTGCAAAAAGGAATCCGAAGGAAAATTCACAATAAACAACATTTACCATGCATGGTATAATTCTTTTGAAAACTGTTTCATTGCCTTACTTTTTCTGTGCAATTTTTTTATATTAAATATTCACTGTGATCAAACAAAGTTAATAAATTCATGGATATAGAAATGGGATAGTATCACATAAAATTATTTTACTATAATACAAATGCAACAAATATTCAAAATTGACTAATTATATTATTTCTGCTCTCTCAAGTAAGTCAGGGCACCTCATCAGTAGGGAAAAATTGCATATTTCAACTTGAGCCACATTTATAAAATTTAAAATTTGAATGCAAATTCTGTTAAGAGCAGCAGCACTCTCAAAA